TACGATAAAATATATATATATATATGTATAATAAACTAATCTGGGCAATGTATGGGACATCTAATACATAAAGGTAGATTATTATTATTATTATTATCGCCGTCTTCGATAAAATTAAAATCATCTAGTGATAGTGATTGTGATAATCGTCGTGATCGTCGTGCTAGCTGTCGTGATAATCGTGGTGATGGAGATGAATTATTTTTTTTACGTTTTTTAGTTACTTGACCATAGTTATAATTAATGTTTGGTCTTTTACTTCGAAGATTATATGGTGGTAACGATGATGGTAATGACGGTGATAATGGTAATGACGGTGATAATGGTAATGATGGTGATAATGGTAATGACGGTGATGACGACGGTGCTAATGATGCTGATGATGGTGACGATGATGGTAACGATAACGTGTTATTATTATTATTATTATTATTATTGGCGTTATTATGATTTAATGAATTATTAACATCATCCGAAGCTAGTGTTTGTACTTCAGGATTATCCTATTTATAAAATAATGTTATCAAATATCGAATTTATAATGCAAATAGATTTATTTAGATCATTTACCTGATCAAATCTAAGTTCTTCAAGGTTATCTCCGTGATCATTATTATGGTTATCGTATTCATTATCAATGACCCGTTTTCTTGAAGATCCGTATTCTTCTGAACAAATTGGGCAGCGCGGTCTAAGAAAAATGTGTCCAAGGCACTTCCAGTGAAAAAGGTGGGCACACGTTAATATGGCAATATCCTCTGTTAATTGCGGAAGTAATTCCTCATGACAGATGCCACAAAGGTCTGATTTTTGATTCTCTTCTGGGATTTGTTCAGGTGTTTCGTAGTAAATGATTTTATACGCGAAACTTTTTAGCTGAGCCTAAATAGAAATTTATAAAAACAGATTTGTTTTTTAATATATTATATATACATAACTATTATATTATATATTATTCTTACCCTTTTATAATCTTTGATTATACCATCCCAATATGGCATTAACCATTTACATGAACGCTCAAATGTTACCTGTTGCGAAAAGAAATGTTAGCAGTGCATCAACTTTTTTTTATTTAATAATAAAGAAAGGCACATAGTCGATTCCTTTCCCCAGAATCAACAGTCCTTTACCGAAAGCTAGTGTTTGAACCTGAGCAGAAATTGCTATTATAATTTATCCGGGCATTTTCTCGACAGATCCAAACACTACCAAAAAAAGTTAGGGCACCTGAACTGAAGACTTGGAGTGGGTACCAAGCAAACAAACCCAGTAATTCTTCTGAGTCAACCCAGGGAGTCGACTAGAAGTTACCCTCCCTTTACCAAATAAAAAAAAACGCACACTTTTATTCAACTCAGCAAAGGCCTCTTGATTTAATCTTTTTGCTTCATCTAGAAAACGACTTGACCAGGCGTTATCGAGATCATTCCAGTTGAGACGTGTTGTTGAAGAAACTATGGCGGAAATTATGGTATTACGATTCAGTTCGAGAAAGCTGCGGTATGACTTGTTATTATAGGTTTGTAAGTAGTCGATTAGAGCTAAGAAGTTGTTAATATTGATTAGAAATTAGAAATTAGAATAAATTTTTACTAAAGTCAGATTTAAGTTATAGAACTTACCGTTATATCCGATATATAATTCGCGAGTTCTTTGTTCAGACATTGTGAGAATAATTATAACGGAGAGATTTACTTGTTTCTTGTGGAAAAAAAAAGAAAAATTAACGCGTCCTAACTCGTACTACATGTGTGATTAATAGGCACTATTAATCATATGACATTGTGATCTCGGATCAAAATAAGACATGATATACTGTATTTTCTATTATTTTATTAAATTTTTTTTTAAAGCTAATTTACTTAAAATTATATCATTAATAAAATAAATACTTTTTTTTTTTTATTAATTACTATTATTATTATTAGGCATTAGTAGAAATTATAGTTTAAATTAAATTTAATTATTTATAAATTAAATACAAATTAAATTAAATTAAAGTTTTAATTTTTAAATTTAATTAAAATAAATTAATTTAAAAATTCAAATAAAAATTTAGATTTCTTTATTTAATATTTATTTTTTCAATAATTCTTTAAATATTATACAATATATATATTTTTTATTAATTTTTAAATAAGCTTTTATATTTTATTAAAAATTTTTTTTTTTTTTTTTTGGGTTATCCCAGTAGATAAACATCATTTCTTTATTTGATATTGTATATTACAAGGTATACATTGTGAAAGAAACAACATCTCTTACATACATA